GATATGGCAAGTCGAAATGGAAATCATAAATTGTAGTTCAGATCTGGTTTGGTCATCGGTTGCCAAGAGGATTAATTCGATTTGTATCGCCCTGTTTCGTTGCTATCTAGGGCAGCAGTGCGTTGGCCGAACAATTAAAAGAACATTTACAAATTTAAAATGCGATTTGCATAAATTACGGCTTGCCCACAGCTGCAGGCGCTCACACGGATAAGGATTTATATATAAGTATGTATTATATATAAATATATAGTACATATGTGTGTGTGCCGGAACATAAGCTCCATTTTGTGGCATTATCTGAGCAGCTTTTGAGCTTGTTTGCCTTGCCTGCTTATTTATGCCAATTTGCATAAACAATGATTGCAGCATACAGGCGGCGAGGATAACAAATTCTGGCAAACAGGTTGCTCAGACACATGGCAATTGCTTGTTTTATGTATGCATGTTTTGTTTGAGCATGTGTGGGTTTGTTTACTCCTGTACAAATACATACGTACATACACACATATGCACTTGAACGACGAGAAGTATGCAGCAAAAAGTTTGGGAATGCATCCTGCTGTCAGCTGATGACTGAAATTCCACAACAGTTGTACTAAGCCACCCACTTCTCTGCCCACACCCGGTGACATGCCATTCTTGTTGGCATTAATTAATTATGTAAACAGCTTAAATGCAAGTTTATTTTATTTACACATGTTTCTGCTTGTTTGGTTTTAAGTGCGCAGGGATGAATGAGAATGGGAATGCCATTTCAATAAATGCACCTGGAAATCCAGGCGATAAATTCCTGTTTAAATTTGTAAACATTTGCCACTGTTGCAAGTCAGGTGCGCGGTGGGGGAGGGTGCATAAATGTTGTCAAAGCTGCTGCAAATGTAGTCAAAGTCCTCTCTCAGCTGAGTTCATCCTTTTCAAGAGACTCAGAATCAGCTGCCTCACTTCCGATTTTCTAACATTTCCGCAGCTGCACTTCCTTTTTTTTCCTTGCTTTTTGTTCGTCTCGCTTTGGCACCGAAGCACAAGATTCGCTTTTGAATTTGTCCGATAGCTTTGGTCCAAAAGCATGCTGATTCTGTCATCTGGCTTAAAGAGCAACGAGTTTCACGAGAGGACTGTAAATCTAATGTCATCCTGTTGTGAAACTTGGAAGCCGGTGAAAACTGACAGCTGAATTGGGGTCAACGACTGCGGCCAATGTTGTTTGGCAAACACATTAATTTGCATAAACGAAAGCAATTTATTTGGCATGACATGGCCACGAAATGAAATTAATTTATGCGTTTATTTATGTAGATGAAACGAAGTTAAGCATTAAATAGATGTGGTTTTTAATTAAGGGCATACAAAGTTCCCTTTTCCCTGTTAAAGTTTCCCAGCCCATTGCCACGTTCTGTGGCTTTGTAAGCTGATCCTGCTGGCTGTTTTGCGGTGAGAATCCCAACAATCTGCGCCTGCAGCCCCTACATCCATCCCAGCCTCATCCGAGCCCCTCGAAAATGCTACAAACTAACTCAATCCGTCTGCACACAATGCTAAAAGTGCGAATTGTAAATAGTTTCTGGCATCAGGCTCTGGCTTAGCTTAGCGATGGACTTTTTAACAGCCCTGCAGGGCACTAAGCAGGTACGGAGGAATCAACTCGCTGGATTACGAAAGGGATATATAGCCTACACTGCGGGAAAAGGAGGCTACAAAACGATGGTAAAAATATTGCAAAAAATTTAGAAGCTCAGACTAACAATAAAGCAGACTTCTAATTAATAATTAATACAAATAATTGAAGTTACAAAAATCCTTAAACAAAATTCCGTATTCTACACATCAAAAGCGATCCAATATTTTTCCTCCCTGCACTTTGCATGTTCATATTCAATATTACCCAGCTGAACTGCAGTTTCGTTCCCCCAAAGATTTATTCCTCCGTTTCGGGAGAAACTTTCCTCTGGAAACACTACCCGTTTCCATCTCTATACCGCCGTGACCCCCGCATCCTGCTGTTCCATCCAACACCATCCCGTAGCTATGCATGCAATGCCTTCCAAGTGCCTTTTTATTTGGAGCGCGAGCGGCGTTAGTTTGTTGCCTTTCAGCCGAGCCATTCTGACATTCTGCCATTTTGCAAGAGCTCTATCAATGTGAGTGTGAATCTTGAAAGGGGCGCGCCGGGAGGGGGTATCCCCACACTAAAAAGTGTGTGTGTGTGTGTATGGTGTGGTGGGGAAATTATTTGCAGTCACTTGGGCAGGTTGTTTGAGCTTTGTATATGTTTGTGTGTGTGAATGTGCCCCCCGCCATCCTTCCAGGCCACTTGAAGCCATCGCGCCTCCTTTTCCGCCTTCCGACTTCGCCTCCGCCGACGACTGACATTTTGGTCGTCCTGGCTTTGCGGTTGTTATTGTGATGCTGTTGTCATCATTACTGTCGTCAACTTGGCTCTGGTAGTTGGAATGGTTTTGGGTTTTGCCAGCTGCATTCCCCCGACCATTTACATTTGCCATTTGCGGTTTGATTTCTGGGTCTTCACCCAGAGTCACGCCTCGTTGGGCCACCATTGTTGTTGCCTTTGTTCGTATTGCTCGCTTTGATGGAACTTTTGTGCACTCCGGTTTAAGCAAATTAATTAGCGAATCTGCACAAAGCACAAAGCATCAGCCCAAGCCGGCAAGCCAGAGCAGTGAAATTCCTTAAAGTGTTTCAGCCAACACGAACGCATTATGACACGAGCCTTGCATTTCCGATGCTAAACTGTTGCCTACTTATGGGTGCTCCTACTTCAAAGGCCTTAATTAACTTTCGAGCATTTGCTGGGAAAATTGTTTGAGTAATGTGAGTGTGTGTGTGAGCGAGAGAGAGATAGTATGTGGTTCTGAACACTCTGGGGGATTTTCGTGTCTGCAACGCAGTGCACATTTTTGGTAAATTAAATTTTCGAGTTTCAAATTGCTGCAACTTCAATTGAAAGTTGATTAGCAGGAACGAGAAGCCGAAAGAGCCCCCTTCGGATGCCGTAGATTTGATCCCATTCCGAAATTCAATTAGGTTTCTTTGTGCGTGCAGTTGGCGAAGTAAAAATGTTGTTTATTTTCCCCTCCCATCCATTTCAATCGGAAACCATGGATAGCTGCGTGCATTTGCATATATTAGGAAGCCATTCATTGGTCTCTCCAGTACAATGCAAATCGACTTTGACCCAATTTTTTTGGTTCTCGCTACCGGCAATGCAAACAATTCATTAATTGTAGAGTGCGAATGAGAGTGAAAAAACGGCGCCCTAGCGGACATGATTGATTGTGAAATTATAATCCGGAGTTGCACAGCCTCTCGGGCACGAATTCGGATGGGTGATATATGTGGCGGTGTGACTTATCTGCAGATCGAAGCGCCAGACATCGGCTTTTAAGGGCTCACCATTCGAGCAGAGTACCTATTGGAGTAATTTCCCGGAGTTGGGTTGCCACAATGCTCATAAATGGGAGATGATTTACAGAAGTTGCTGTTTACAAAAACCAGTCTTGTATTTTTTTTAAACAATTTACATTACATTTAAAGCTGATAAAATAATACTAATTTACAGAAAGCAAACCAGCAAACAGCTATCATCCATTAAATTCAATCATTTTTCAGCTACTGAATGATATAAAAAATGAATTACATTAAACTATTAACATCAGAGAAGCTTATTTGCCTAATCCCCAAATAGCCATAAAACCTTTTTCGGCATAATTTAATGCATTAAATAAATAAATTATTTAAAGAGTACCTGATAAATATACAGCTAATAATGTAACATATTTGAATTAATGAGGGTTTTAATAGCATGCTTTTGGTTATTAAAATAATCTGATAAAAAAACAACAAAATAAAAATTGTTTGCTATTTATGTTGCAAATTCACAAAAGATTTGCCATTGTCAATTGCCATTGACGACACATTGCCAACGATGATAGTTAGGGCGGAAGTCATTTCCCCTTCAATATACGCATTCTTCGGCAAGGACTTCGCCTGAGGAATGCCTGTCCTTGAGTAGGTTACTGCGGAGGAGGGTGCAACTTTTTGACAATTGATGTGAGCAAATACTTATAGATAGACCCGCAGATAAACTTGCCTTCTACCACTTCGAGGCAGACAAATTGCAATCGAAGTCGCTGCTTCTGCCCGTGGCAGACACAAACCCAGACTCGAAGCTGGAGATGTGGATACGGATACGGGGATCCGGACAAGCCGAGAAGACAGCCATTGATACGTCCCCGACGCATTCGCATTCGCATTGCTCTCGCAGTCAATTTCCTTACATTTTCCCCTTGGCTTTTTTTTTATTATTTTCCTCTCGTACATTTTTTTTTTGCAAACTAAGGTAAATTCAATTGAATCGAACCGGGAAGAGTGGGTCTGATCGAAGGAGGTTGAAGGAGTGGCAGGAGGATGGGGACTGAGCATGCCACAATAGCGCTTAATTTTCAGCGCTGCAACAAGCGGCTGACAGGGGTTTTTGCTGGAGCTAGGGTTGATACCTGTGCTGGTGGTAGCTGGTGGGTGGTGGCCATAAATAATGTCGAGTGGGTGGAGACTGAGACACTTCCACGTGTGTGTTTGGCTGTCTACGTCTCGAGTTAACAAGACTTTTCGCTTTTACTCAAACTCGCAGGCTAACACAATTTTCAAAGCTTTTGTCTTGCCACGACTTGACTCGGCGTATCGGAACAATCTCATATAGATTTGCACTGAGAAAAATATCTGAGTTCTTTATACTGAAATTTCCAAAACTGAGAAAATTGCTAGAGGAGAAACTATTCATCATTGCTTAAGCTTATAGATAGGTTTATTTTTCTCAGTGTTAATATATAGATTCGGGGTTTAGAGATTGGCTTACGGCGGAGTTGAATCAACGCCGAGGCAAGGCAAATGTGAAGCCATTTCCGTGACCCGTGGGGAAGTTGGATCTGGGATATGGGATCCTGGATATGCGCACCCCGTATATTCGTAATCGTACTCACCGGCCTTGCAGGGATCCATGTCAATGTCTCCGGATACCTTTGGTGTCACATGCAGGCGCATCAGCTGCTCGATGGTGTATTTGCTGCGGTAGGGTCGACGCAGTCGCCGGATTGTGCCCAGATACGCATCGAATTGTTGCCGATGGTGGAGGTGATGGTGCTTCAGGCCCTCTTCCTCGCTGTCGATGTCCTTCTCTGGATCGGATAGTCGTTGTAGGACACTGCCATCCACGGAATGTTCCCGCCTGTGGGCATTTTCAGTCGCCACCTGATCCCTGGTTGCAGGTAGTCCTCGATGGGGCCTGGGGTTCTTGGCATGAACCGAAATGAGCACCACCAGCAGACCGGTGGACAATATAAGGACGCAGTTCGTCCAGCTGACGCCCAGGGGCGTTCCCCGCCTCCTACGCATCGCACCGGGCTTCAAATTCTCTGTTGCTTTTTGTTCTCTTTAACGTTGTGTTTTCCGGTTGTGCTTCTGTTGCACTTGCCACGTTCCGTGACCACTGGCCCGTTCGGATTCGGTTGTAACTATCAGTCTGCACTTGGTATTATTTCTGCATTTTCAATTAGCACGTGCCGGGCCTGCAATTGAAATAGTTAAACAGAAACGCAAAAACATTGATTAGATTGTGGACCGTGTTGGAAGCGGATTCATTCAGGTTTGCACTAGACTAAATGGAATTATTTATGTACCCTGACTCAATGTTTTTCTTCTCTCTATAAGCTCTCTAAAACACTGATAACCCTTTGTTCAGTGCAATGGCACTGTGTTTTGCACTTAATTTTTTAGATTTTAGTTAGAAAGGTTAGAGATTTCTATTTTTTATACCTGACTCATTCATTCTCTGATTATGTGATTCGAATTAATTAAAATGTCAAATAAATGATTTAAATTATATTATTTAACCGCATTTTAACCTTTTTTGTTAACGTTATTTGTAAAAACATTCCTATGAGCTGTCATCTGTTTTTGTGTTTATTCTATTCTGTTGTTTTTTTTAGTTGCTAGACTGTAGCTCCGATGTTCCCAAGCCCCCTGAACCTGTGATAACCCCTTCGAAATGACCCACAATTTCAGGCGATAAAGCTCGCCTGTTTTTGTTTTTTCATGGCCCTGAAATATTTGTTTTATTTTCGATTTTTTTTTTGCGGAAATAAACGTCGCACTTTCACACACATTGATGGGTAAATACAAAGCTGAAATTTTCCGGGGATTAAATTGCGAAAATGCAGATCAAATGCGGCAGTAACATTAACATTTTGTGGGGGGAAAAGCAATTTACTTATGCATTCCCCATTTCGAATCGGGCTGAGTCTCGTGAAGCCGACTTTCATTTGCAATTTGAATGCGTATTCTGGCTGGGAAATGTCAACCGAACGGATACATTTGCTAATTCCGAGATAAGGCTTCCAATGCAATCGATGCAAGACGATGGGCAAACACAGATTGCTATCCCATACAGAGTATGTATCTCTCTTTTGGCATCAGGCAGATAATCTCAATCTGTGCACACCCGGCGTCTTATTTACATATGTACCATACTGGTACATATACATATATACTATATATATGAGGAGCACCCAACATCTGCGCCCTGGGCGATCATAAAAACTCGAGAACTTTAGACAAAGGAGGTGTAAAATATAACAGATGGGCGGGATGGTGGTAAAGGAGAGGCTGTGAAAGGAAGTCGATTTAGGGGGAAACGGTCAGGCAGTAAATCCGTGAGACGAGGACAGGTAAGTGCCTCTGCCTTCAACTTAGCACTCAATTAATTTCGAAGCGAAAACCCTGAAGGGCAGGCACCTCCAGTGCGATGCACAATAACAGGTAATTAAAAATCGCTTAGCCTCCTCGAAACGGGGAACCCAAGAACAATTCACAAAACCTTTTCAATTAACTTGAATGTTTGGCCAAAACCATTGTCATCAGACCGTGTTCCTGCTGCTGATGCTGCTGCTGCTGCTACTGATTTTCCCCAGCAATTGTGGCAATTTCATTAAATCATTTCATTTCCGGCCCCCGCTTATACACAAACACATACAAACACACAAAACAAATCAAGGACTCGCCTGGCTTTTTATGGCAAATTAAGTTGCCTTTTGTGTGGTGGTGGTGGTGGTTACGATGGTGGTGGTGGTGGTGTGGCAACTAGCAAATAAAGCCAAACACCACACAGACAATTCCACGGGCAAACCTTGGACAGAAAGTTTTCGCAGCCAAGCAAAACAGTTGCGAGCCGTGGCAAAAGGAGTGCAACATATTTTCTTAATTTCATTTCGTTTAATTTCACTCGGCAAAGGAGCAGCAGCAGGAGCTGTTTCAGATGGAGGAGGAGGAGGAGGAGCAGTAGGAGCAGGAGCAGCAGAAGAAGCCGCCATTTCCATAATCCACGTTCGCATAATTACGTATACGCCGCATGGGACCAACGGCAAGGACGAGAATGATGATGACGACGGGCACTGTTGCTGCTGCCTTCTCATTTAAGCGAAATTAAAAATTCAATTGATAAATTCCAAACTAAATAAGCACGGGATGGGTGAGTTGAGAGGAGAAAAGTTACTGGAAATGTACTTCTACCTCACCCTCCTCCCCCTACTTTGCTGATGAATTTTTCTCTTTTGTTGCCACGTCTCTGGCAGCAAATTGAAAATCGTTGAAAAGTATGTTAATTGGCTGAAGTGAAAGCAGCCTGCCCACTGCCACCACCATCAGCAGTGCCTTATACTTTGCCATTTTCCAGCCACTTTGCTCATTATGGAATTTGTGCGAACCTCATCCTACTTCCTCCTCCTCCGCTCTTATCGCACCCACATGGATTTTTGGGAGGTGCATTCTTATCAATGTTCCAGGTCAATTGACTATCGGCCAGCGTAAACAAATGCTTTACTACGTAATAGCTGACAAAACAAACAAGACCATCAAGTGGGATCCATCTATTTGTTGGAAGTGCCCTTTGGATCCCACGAAGAGAAGGCCCTTGATTCGCATTTCGATTCGCATTTAAAAAGCTTTAAGATGTCATTTTCAAATGGCACGCGCCATTTACTTTTAGTTTAATTAGATGAGATAAGAGTACACCGAGAGCAAGCAGATATCCTCCTGGTATCCATCCTCGCACCAAACTCGCTCCATTCGAGGCCATCAATCAGGCTTGTCAAGTGCTAGCAACTTTCCAACTACAAGAGCTGACAATGACAAGCGTCAAGTGGCTGGGGAATCCTTGTTTTCCAGCCGGGGCGGTTCCGTTGCCTCTGACTCTGATTTGGAGTAGTAGGACTAGACGACTCACAATCACAATCACCATCCTGCCATCCCATCTCTTACCATCCCATCCGCCTACGAAGTCTCTGGCGTTTTTAGTGTTTTACAAGAGCAAATCCTGACAGGACTCGCAGCGGAAGCTCTTTGTTTGCCTAATTTTGATTTTCTCCGTTTGACATTTGACATTTGCAGTTGCAAACTACCCAAGTCAAAGATATGAATTGAAATGGCACTCAAATGTATTTCGATGGAGGAGGGATTGAAATTTAGCTGGCAAGAAAACGACGACGGGCCAAACGAGTTGTTTAGTGCATTTCGAAGCACTTTGCGACTTTTCGCATTTCTGGACAATTTTCGCCGCACTCAAGGACATCGAAATGCAGGGCATGCAGACCGAAAATAAGGCCATGACTTGGCTAACAAGTGGATGGCCCGAAACGATGGTGGGTGAATAAGGAGCCTCAATTTGGAAACAACTTAATTTCAATTACTGACGCAAAGGCCGGGACAGCCGAAATGGTATAATGAATCGGGGTCTGTAGACTGGTGGTGGAGTCTGAGTTTTCCTACTGCCACTGCTGATGCTGTTGCTGCTGCTGCTGCTGCGGCCGACTTTTATGCGATTTAAAATGCTTCACAAGCGCAAAATGCAGCCAGGCGGCTGAACTAACAACAAACAGGCAAACAAACAGACAAGCAGATGGAATGAGAGGAGGAGGCCAGAGGCCAGGACACGGACACCGAAAGGAAGAGAACCCGAGGCAGAAGCACAGAACCCCAGAACCAAAACGAATCCAAAGCCAACGGCAAATAATTAAACTTGGCTGCCTGGCACCTGTGGCCCTTGTACGTCGGGTCAGGCCATGGCCAAAAACCCCCCACCTACTCATCCTCCAGGCGGCATATCCGTGTATATCCTGAATCCTGGATCCCGGCTCCTGGCTCCTGAATCCTGCAACTGTATGGCAAAGCACAGCAGAGCAGAGCACGGCATACAAACAAAATGAGGGGGTGGACCGAGTCCTGATTATTTAGCAGCTCGGCATGTGAATGTAAATAAAGTTCAGCCATAAAATACCCCGCAGACAGATAGACATCCCAACCAACCAACCGACGAAGCGACCCCCCACTTTTGGGGTCATAATCTGCAACAGAAACAGGACGATGCAAATGGCCAGTGGAGCAAAAATAGAGGGAGCGGACAGCTGGACATAGGATCTCTCGTAAAGAATCTGCGATTTATTTATAAACTTGGCTGGCAGGTCCGGCACTAAAGTTAAGAAATAATTAATACTAACAACGACGAATGACGAGCGTCCTGTGGCCAAGGGATTTTCGAACCGACACAGCCCATTGGAGCCCTGGCTGGCACTGGGATGCCTTTGCACCTTTGCATCTCATCTCATCTCGGCCCCGTTGTTTCGGGTCATGAATAACAATTGCCGGGGTCCAGCAACGGTAGGGAGTCAGCAGAAATATGGCGGCAAAGATTTCTTTTTATGGTGATTGCGTGGGAAAATTGTCGGCAGTCGGCAGTCAGCGGGGGACTCAACGCCTGCCAGGCCGGCGATAAAAATATCAAAAGAATAAAAAACGACGTGAAACAGCCCCAGTGCAAATATGAAAAGCGAGTGAAATCCTTTTAATTTGGCAAATAAAAAAAACGGGAGGCCAGAGCAACAAATTTCCGTGGAATCACTGCCGCCCGTGGAGAAAAACTGGCGACTTAACTTCTGGCATGTAAATGCGTGCAAGTGAAAACGATCCCAAAGAAAAGTCTGATGGTAAAAGGGAAAAGTTTGTGGGCCAACTTGAGTTTTGGCCAACTACAAAGTGCCGGATCCAGCCACGGCCAAGGCAATCGAAGCCATTGAAAGCTCAATAAAGACTCTCTAGATTGAGGGCAATCTATAAGCTATCCTTAACTTAAGATTGCTTTTACCACTACACACACACCAATTAAGTTATCTTGCAGACGAAGCAGTGTTGGGGTAATAATTACTAGGAGAAAATATTATAACAAAGTACAAAAATACACATAAATTAGTCTGCAACCGGGGCAAGTAAGTGAAATATAAAATCTGCTTAGACTTTAATTAATTACACATGGAATGGGAGGAGCGGCAATGGGGCCGCAGGAATGACAGGATTCAGCCAAGTGGAAGTGGAGGCACTCACCAACACACACACACACACACAGAGAGAGAGAGACACCCAGACAAACAAGCACTTGCGACATATCATTAACTTTGCTTTATAGCAACCAAAATTGGTAAGGAACCAAGTGGTTGGGGCGGAAAAAAGCGGCGTGGCAAAAGATGAAGTAAAAATACAGAAGAAATAACTCGTGGAGTTTGCGAAGCTGCTGGGGTGACACTTTCTATTAGGGGGTGCTGCTTTCAAGGACCTGGAGGATGTGAATGCGACGGCTGCTTGTTAGCAGGATGGTGTCAGCTGTTGGGCCTACATAGGAAGAAATATTTGTTTTTTCGGAGGATAAACACTGCTGGAAAATGTTGGGTATAATATGTTGAGAAAGTCCTAACATAAAGATTCTTTAAAGACTTGTGTCAAGGCAATAGCAATAAATTCCATATTTTAGTTATGAAACATAAACAAATTTATTTCAGTGGAAATTCGACCCTTGCCGGAAAGTCCCCAATGCATGGCTGGCAAAGCAGATACAACACACTTTCTAATATCCATAAAATAACTCAAATCTTTTCTACAGATTTGCCATCCTTGCCTTGGTCGCCAGGTAAATTTGGGGCTTAATAATGCCTGTGGTCTGTCCGACGTCAAGTGCAGTTATCTTCGGCTGTCCACCTTCGTTGCCACCCACTCCTTGAACTTAATTCGCTTTTAATTTTTACCCTGCTGCGACAGCAAAAAATGCGAAAAAATTCCCCATTGCCATGACAAAAAAGTGTATAAAAAAAGTAAAGAAAAGAATCGAAAAATACAGCAGAAATTTGTTAAGCACGCGCTATCAGTCTGAAGTGCGTAGCCTAGGGTTCGAGGAAAATAAGGGGCTGACAAAGGGAAATGGACGAGGAAAAGGAGTCCTGGGAGTGGGAATCCAAATGAATTCTATTCAAAGCGTTGCTGCCACAAAATATGAAATGAAATGTTGTCGCTGGGGAGCGGGGCGAGTGTCCAGGACGAGAAATGTTGTTAAGAAATGCATACGCGGGCAATTTTTATTCCTTGCTGTCCTGTCCCAGTCGTACCCTGTTGTAGTCCTCCAGCGTCCTCCTGTGTCCTCTAGTAGCCAGGCAAACTGGCAGGGCTGCTTAAACACGAAATGCTTAATGGCCAAGTTGCCACAAAACGTTTGCCAGACAAGGGCCAACTCAGTGGAGCAAAAATGAAATGCGTTTTCTGGCTCCCAAGGACGAAAGACCTGTCCTTCTGTCTGTGTGTGTCTATATGTGTGGGTGTGCTTACTGGAGCATAAGCAACCTGGGCAACAATATCAATATGCGTCTTTTGTACCAAAGCTTTCCCCAGCTGACAATTGTCCGCCACCGGAAGTTGATATTCTGGCAAGCGGAAGTGCTACGGGTAAATATCCAAACCCCATTTACCCCCCTCCCACCAAAAAATTCCATATTTTCCATTTCATTTTGCCGCCTTACGCTACGCATAAATTTCCATCACCATCCATCTAGAGCAAGCAGACAAACGAAATGCGCAGCATATGAAAAAGTTCTGTAGACAAGAAGCCAGGGCCAAAACGAGAGCCAATTAGGGCTAATGCCTGCCTTTTCTGGACCCTTTTGGGCTTACCTTAAATTGCTGTCGAAGAACGAGGATCGTTGGTCACAACAACAACAACAAAAGCAGAAATAAAGGGAAAGAATGCTGCAGAAGGCAGCCGGAGAAACAATAAATATAAAATTAAAAGCCCAGACAAGATGAGTTGGGTCTGAGAGATCGAGTTCGTTGCCACCGGTTGAGGAATTCCCTTCTATTTCGCGGTTTTTCGTGGGCACCTTGACTTGCGATTGTTCCGTATTGCAAGCAACAAACAAAAAGCACACACATACGTACACATACGTATCAGTAAAGATTCTATTTTAATTATGCCGGCGGCCTTTAGATTGCCAATTGACGAGATCTGCGCTGTGATTTAACGGGATGAAAAGCGGAAAAGTGGAAACCGCACGGCGGAGATAATAGCGTGAGCGTAAGACGCAGAACACCCACAAATCGAGCGATGCTGGTGGTGCTGAATATCCGGAGGAGTCCGGGGGGAGACTGTCACTGGTGCACACACCGCGTGCCGTTTTTTATTTATAGCCATTGAATGCTGCGCTTCGCTTCTATCAGCAACAGCAGCAACATCCACACCGGCAGCAACATGTACGGTAGCAACATCAACGATGACAGCAGCATCCTCAACAAAAACAGCGTGTTTACTTATTGTCGTCGGCCGAGGGAAACCAGAGAAATGAATAATAATAATAACGCTAAACCAAAGATCAGGGCAGACACTGATAACGCTTCAGACGCACACATCAACGATCTTAATCGAAATTTAATCGAGTGCGAAGATCACGAGCACAAAATTAGTGATTAGAATAGCAGAAACCCTTGATTCACTTGTTGAATAGGTGAAAAATATATATATATATATGTATTTGTATTTAACTCCGCTTGGAAGCAATGCGAATCCCTTGCAGGTAGAAATCTTGGTTTTACCAATCAACACTCACTCACTTCACTGTCCGTTAAAGATTTATCCTTTTGCCCTTTACCGATTTTTGCGTTTGGCCATTTGATTCAAACAAGTTTGTTGCCAATATTCTTTTGTTTCGCGATACCGATTCCGTTTTAACAGCGAAAGCACGTCCGTTCACGACCGAAGTTGCTCGCGATTTGAGAACATAAACAGAGCAGCCAGATAGAGGGCCCCGAACTGTTCCCACCGAGAGCATGCGCCGAGAACAACTGAGGAAAAGTGCCCAACAGGCGGCTGCGTTTGAACTGCCGACGAGCGTCAACAAAGGAAAAGACATCGCGGGGGCCAGTGTCCTTAGCGAGATCAAAGATCTTTGTGTTAGCCCTAAAATTGTTTAAAGAAAACTTGTTTATTTTGAATATTATTTTTGGAAATAAATTATATTCTTATTACCCAACAGTTATTATAATTAAAAACTTTACGTTTTAAATAAGAATACAATATAATTTAATACTTAAAATAAAAAACAAAAAAATGAATCAATATATCAATATACCCTTAATATGCCCTGATTTATATGTCTTTACGTTCAAATAAGCAAATAAGTTTAAGCATTATTGTCATCAATATACGAAATAAAGTAATATATAATATATAAATTCGTTAAAATTAAGTTAACGAAGTAATTTAAGTTAAAAATAAGTTCTTATCAGTTTATAGAGAATTAAAAATTTCAAAGCAGTTACAACCCGTACTTTTCAACACTTAAGGCAACTAATCGATAAATTATATGTTTAAATAAACTGGAAGCAAATTATCGATAGTGCCATCGATGGTTTGACAGCTATTTTTGGCAGGAAAATTTTCATTATTTTATTTAATAAAATATAATGACTCAAAAGTGCGAGACCACAAACTGCGGCAAGGAGGCAACCTTGCAGTGCCCCACCTGCCTGAAGTTGGGCATCAAGGGCTCTTTCTTCTGCTCGCAGCCGTGTTTCAAAGGTTTCTGGAAGGAGCACAAGGCAATCCATGCCTTAGCAGGTCAGTTATAGAAAGTCTTCGTTCGTAATGAGTTGGTTTTCTGAAATTTGGAAATTTTTTACCGCAGCTGGGGCTTCTAACTCATCTGGACAGGATGGAGCCTACAATCCGTGGCCGCAATTCCGATTCACCGGCAAATTGCGTCCATTCCCACAGACTCCCAAAAGGGCCGTACCAGAGGCCATCCAGCGGCCAGATTATGCCGACCACCCCGCAGGTCGTTCCCTCTCAGAGGAGGCCTTGCGGGGTACTAAAATTAAGGTTCTTGACGACGAGGAGATCGAGGGCATGAGAGTAGCCGGCAGACTTGGACGTGAATGCTTGGATGAGGGCGCCAAGGCCGTCGAGGTGGGCACCACCACCGACGAACTGGATCGTTTAGTCCACGAGGCGGCCATCGAGCGAGAATGCTATCCCTCGCCCTTGAACTATTACAACTTCCCTAAGTCGTGTTGCACTTCAGTCAACGAGGTGATCTGCCACGGAATCCCAGATCAACGACCTCTGCAGGATGGAGATCTCTGTAATATCGATGTAACCGTCTATCATCGCGGTTTTCACGGCGATCTCAACGAAACCTTCTTCGTGGGAAATGTCTCGGAGAAGCACAAAAAGCTGGTGCAGGTCACCCACGAGGCGCTCAGCAAGGCCATTGAGTTCGTGCGTCCGGGAGAGAAGTATCGCGACATAGGCAACGTGATCCAGAAGTATGTGGCTCCCCATGGATTCAGTGTGGTGCGCAGCTATTGCGGCCACGGCATTCACCGCGTTTTCCACACAGCCCCCAACGTGCCTCACTATGCCAGTAAGTTTTGTGGGTCAATGAAACGGATTAAGATTTAACTTGTTATTCCGTTACAGAAAACTCTGCCGTAGGCGTCATGGCGCCAGGACACTGCTTCACCATTGAACCAATGATTTCCATTGGCGTCCAGAAGGCTGAAACCTGGCCCGATGACTGGACAGCCGTTACCGCCGATGGCTTGTTCTCTGCCCAGTTCGAGCAAACGCTTCTGGTCAACGAAACTGGATGTGAGATCCTTACCAAGCGTCGCGAGAATAACGGACAGCCCTGGTTCATGGACAAGATGTGAGGGAACTAGCTTGGGCTAATATATAACTTCTAGGGCTATCTTTCAAGCTTTAATTTGTAATTTTACAATAAAATCTAGAGTTTCTATTCCCAAGTCCAATGTGGATGTCCCATTATCCTGATTTACTTCTCAAGAGGAGCATAATTGAGCAGTTTCTCGATGAGATCCACGTGTCCCAGGAGCATTCGACGGCAGCAGTACCTCTTTAGACCCAAAGCATCAAGGGCATCTCTGGAATTGGGAAATATAATACAAATTATAAAAAAATGCGGTTTACATGGTAGAAATTTCCCGCGTGACTTACCCTTCTGTGTATTCCGCCTGAAGGAGCCCCAAATATGACTCCCACTTGTTGCCAATAACCTTACCGCAGGTAAAACAACGGATTGGAATAATCATTTTGTTGAGCAGGCGATAGTTCGCAAAGAAATCAAAGAAATTGTACAGATCACAACAAAAATTCAGCTAAAATGTGTTTCGCTCGGCTTCAGTGTGACCGAATCATATAACCCAAAGTTCTCCAAAGTACCTTTGAATATCGATATATCGATTGAACCGATAACTACCCGCCATTATACGAAATAAGTAAATATTACATTTTTGAATAAATTAATGGTTATTTTTATTAAACTACCGACTGCTCGCTACATGAATGCGTTTTTACAAATGAGTGTGTAAATAAATATTTTGTTGAACAGCTTCGAAGACTAAATGAGCCTTAACTAATTACTGCTGGCCGTGAGATGCTCGCCGGCCACTTCGACGGAGGTGGAAACCTCGAACAAATCTTTGGCTGACTCCTCGCTGTCGCTCTCGACCAGACCCGCGCTAGGCACATCCTCCACGGTGCCTTTTTTCAGATCATCAGAGCGTTTTTGCAGCCGCTGTTAAGTTAATGGTTATATATAATCGTCTTTAATCCTAGCCTTTTTAATTTTAAAATATGTAATTTTACTTACCGATTCGGACGCCTCCTCATCGGGCACAAAGATGCGAAGTGGCGTGTTGGAGCCCAACTGCTGCTGCACCAAGCGCTGGTGCTCTTCGAAGGCAATTGCTGCTGGATCCTGAGCAACCTGTTGCTGCTGGTGCTGCACCTGTTGTTGCTGGTGTTGAAGCTGCTGCTGCGGATGATGTTGAACTGGCTGTTGCAACTGCTGTTGTTGCTGCTGCAGTTGCAACAGCTGCAACTGTTGCTGCTGGTGTTGCTGCTGCAAGTGTTGCTCCTGTGCCTGGGCTTGCAACTCCTCGAACTGCTGCTGTTGCTGCTGTTGGTACTGAGCCTGAGCCCGCAGCTCTTCCAAATGCAATTGATGTTGTTGCTGTTGCTCCTGGGCCTGGGCTTTTAATTCTTCGAGATGCAACTGCTGCTGCTTTTGCAACTCGATGGCAGCTTGTTCAGTTTCAAGTTGCTGGCGGCGCGCCTCCTCCTCTGCATAGGCTTGCAACAATTGCGACGAATCGTGGGCATGACCATAGAAGTTGGACACCACAAAGCCGCCTTCCGGAACGGAGGCTGTTACTGCCGAAGCTACATTGGGCAGGTGGAAGGATGCTGTCTCGTAGGCACTCGAACCTGTTTCACCCAAAGCAGGAGCGGCAATCAGAGCCGCATATTGTGGTGCGGAATCCAACACTGGGTGGATGTTGTGATGCGGATCCTTGGCTGCCTGCAGAATCTGCCCGTTGCTGGCCACTTCCTGGGTGAGATCGGCATTTACATAGCCGGACTCGACGATCGGCTCCGTGCTGGGCTTGAATAGTTGCTGCTTGTGCGCCGAGTACAGTTGATTGGACTGCGTCACCAGGTAAGTGGGATTGTAGATAGGGATATGGGCAGCCGGAATAGCGGCGATGAAGGACTGCGACTGAACCGCTGGCTGGGCATACTGGATGGGGTAGATCTCCGGCGCCGTTTGAGCTGCTGCCTGAGCTCCCACAATCTGTACCAAAGGCTGGGCGGGAAGATGATTGCTCTGGACATCAGCGGGCAGCGGTTTGTTGTTGCTCGGAGTATTAAACGATTCGGTGGCTGGACGTATCTTGGTGGTGGGCAGCGAGGGATCCGGATCTGGTGCAAAGAGTTTCTGCGAACCCGAAATGGGATCGCGAATGGTTTGGTCATTGGTCTCGTCATCATGCACACTGTAATTCGGTGGCAAGTATGTCTGGGGACGAGCGGATGAGGAAGGGGTCTGGGATGGGGGCTTGTACAGATAGGAGGAGTCTAGGTGTCCCTCCTCCACATCCAGATGGTTTTCGCCGAGGTTCGGTGCGGGAACCGTGTAAATGGGTGCAAAGTGCTCCGTGTTGAAATTGTTGTGCGTGTCCAGCTGTGGGGGATTGGCAGGTTTGGAGATATGTTATATGTTTGGCTGTGTGGTGAGCGTGTATAAAGTGCGGAATAATGTTTTCCAATGAGCCAGGAATGATTAATTCATTTCATTCGTTTGTTTGTAAGATATTTACAACTTAATCTCTCGAATAGTTATTAAACACCAATCAACTTCATGAAATTCAATCATTTCGCTCTTGCGGATCCCCATCAATAAATCTATCCTTAGGACTTAACTTACCGGCAGATTCTGGAGCTCGCTGTAGCTAACAGCCGTTGGCTTCTCGTATTTGAAAGGTTTATCATATCCAAATGTGGGTTTCGCCTTGGGCTTAACATTGTTGAGCTTTAGCTTCAGAGGCTTCCTTAGGGCTGTCGCAGGTTTCAGATAGACTGGAGAAGGAGCACTCAGTTTAATAGGACGTGGAGGTCCGCGGAGATGTTGATGTTGGTACTGATGCTGCGGCACATGGATCAACGGATGCGAGTGGAGGTGGGCATGTGAATGAGCGTGTGACAGGACATGCGGATGTACTGAGTGGGGATGTGCCAGATGAGCGGCATGTGTGTGGGCGTGTGGGCCATGGCCAGGTCGACCCTTTAGTACCAAAGGCACCGGCTGATCGCTTCGTATTTGGACGACCAATGTGCGCTGTTTTCCTTGCGGACCGGCGGCTCCAGCGGCGACGGGACGGCTTAGCTGCTTAGAGCTCTTGGGCGGCCAGTTGGTGAAGACGAGCGGACGTTGCTCACAGTTGGCCAGCGCCAAAATCAGGGCGAGCAACAGGAAAGGCTAACGGAGAGGAAGGGGACACAATGTCAAAGACCATTAAATCAAAAGCTTAATTACGCGTACATCGAACAAAACGCCGAAAGAAATAAAAACTTTCTAAGTCCGGCGATGGCCAAGGCGAAAAAAGGGGAGGAGGGAGGGTCTTGTAATCGCTGGACAGCAACAAAACTGTAATGGCCTTAATTTGAACAAATTGGCGGTTTTCTAAAATTTTATCACGTCGCCTGCCGCTGACTACTTAACCAAAGCTGCTTAAGCAAACGAGCCAACAAAGTATCTTCACTTGTCCGTCTACGTATTTATATTCGAGTATATATTTATACGGGTAGTATGCCATAATACTTTGGCCATTTTCCCCGCTTCGATGGCTAATTAAACTTTCAGCCCGCAATGCCGTAGAATGAAAGTGAAAAGTTGAATATCGAAATGTCTTCGTTCTGTAATTGTTACTGTCAAGTTGTTTACGTTATTTTCGATTGGGTATTATGGTTTGATGACTCAGTTTGTGACACTTTCATTATGTCTTCTGATTATTGGAATTCGAAATTGATTTCTACACGTAAAAAAGGAGCTAACGGAAGTTTAGAGGTAAGATAACCGTTTTTGAATTTCGCTTTCGTGATATAAAATTCGGATCTTTGTATTGAAATGATATCGGGATCTAAAGGAACTAACTTCTAATGGAATTAATCCTTGGAAAATACCTTATTGAACAATGCAGAAATTTTGAAAATAATTATATTATTATTATAGTTCTAATCCTTATGATTCGTAGAAGTACAAGATAAGTAATCGAATAAGAATACTCAAAATTCGTTATGGAAACGCATTCCCATGAAAGATGGGGCATGCAGCTCTCTGCTTGGATGGTTTGGGTCTTGGTCGATCGAATGGGAAGTCGGTAATTTGAGGCAGCAACTGGACATGGCAATTTCACCTGGGCAGCTCCACCGAAGCGGCGGCAATGACAATGACAATGTGGTGTGCCGTTAGCCAGACGTCAATCAACAGGTGAAATGCCTAAGCGACTTCAATACGTATAGTTATTGATTACGTGCTGCGTTTGCTTAAACGGATTGCCAAAGAGGAGGGTTTGTCTATTGCAAGTGCAACTGCAACAGCGTTTGTGGCAGCGACAGCGGGGTGCAACGTAATTGCCACCAATTTGGGGGCTTATTGTTTATAGAGTGGTTAGTTAGTTTGTCGCCTTTACAATATGCATAATCATATGCAAATACCTGTGCCGCCTTAGGTGAACGAACTGGCAGGAGACGGATGCCAAAGTCTGGCAGGGAATTGCCAAAGGCGGCAGCAGCAATTCGATCACTCGAAAGTCCAAATGGAATTCGCATAATTTCGGGTTTCCTCTGGGCTTGGCCATGAGACCAATGAACTTCACAAAGGATTTTCCTAACGGCCTAAGCGGAACTATTGATCAGCGGCCTGTCGCCACTGTCGACGACCATAAACAACGGTGTGGTTAACCCAAATTGCAACTCGAAATGCAACTTTTATTTTAGCGGCAAGCATTTTATTTTCAAGCCCGCTGCACATTGAGGCAAATGCAGGCGAGCAGCCAGTGTAATTGGTGCACGTAAAGCCATCCATTGTCTGGATCTTGGCGAAACTTGGCGCATCAAGTGCTCTCATTGCAAATGAAAGTGCTCGCTTTGCCGGCCACATTACAATTTGTCAAATATTCAAACGACTTCACAATACCTCAGCGATGGCAATTCAATTGAAGAAGATGCTATTGTGGCATTGTGTTGCAATTGTAATTGGATTTGCAGGTGAAGGTGAATCTGAATCTCAATCTGAAGTCGTTGATCGCTAAGCTAAAGAAATGCCATTTCATTTGCATCGAAATTAAAGCTAATCCATTATTTTTTATGCTGTGCGCAGTGAGAGATTTTTTTAATAACCACTAATTGTGGCCAACAAACTCGCAGTCTCCGCATGAATCACTTACCCTCATCTTGTTTTGAATTTATAACTATTTTCGTTTTGTTTTTATTGGAATCTGGGGGCTGCTGTTTTTGCCTGTAGAAAGCTCTGAGCAAATGTCGAGTGACTTTTGGCTTCTGCTTCTTTATCTGCTACTCCAGCAGCAAATAGATGAAGATCAAAATGGCAATTAGGTATATAATCACATCAATTAACTTCATGTCAGCGAGCGCCGCGGCGCTTTCTTTCGGTTTTAAGCTGCACGCACAGAAGATTCGAAAAAGAATTGTAATAGAGTGCTTTCGAGGAGCAGCGACGTCCGCACCTGTTGAAGTCCCGAAGACAACTGAGTGTTAGTTGGTCGATGGTAACGGACAAAAACCATGTGCCGAACCGTTTGGAGTTCCACTGGAATGCGACGACGATCACGACGACGACTCGCATTGGAAGTGCGCATTGCGCACTGTAAAGAAAGTGGTCGGATTTTCTTGACTCTTCGCCGCCTAGTGGCGCCGAACATGAAGAAGAAGAAAAAACTAGTTTGCAATGGCTAAAACGCAGCACGCGACCAACGGTAAGCAACATGAATTGCCAGCAAGTGGCCGATTAATCGCAACGAAAGTGTTTTGCCATTGACTGTTCTTGGCCGGCGATGGAAAGAAAAGAAAAAGGCAGCTCAAAACAAAAGACTTAGGCAACGAACTTGTTGTCTCGCGTCAGCAGTCGCTCTTTACCTTAAAAAGCAATGCGGACCAGGCGCACATGATCAAGAGATGGCCCCAATGCCGCTGCCTGCTGCCTGCCACCTGCCATTATATTGCTTCTTTTTTTCCCTGGCCAACGGCAGGCAAACAGGAGCGAAGCCACCGATTGACATTACGAAATGCGACTGGCACAATGGGCATAGCAGGTAAACAGAGTGTGACTTTTAAAATAAAATGTAAAGAAAATATGTAAAAGCATATTTCGTTAAATTTTATTATTAATTTCCATTAGATCTGGATAAGTACATTTTTGACTATTTTTTGAAAAAAAGGATGAAAAGGATCGAAAATGCGAAAATTGGTTATCTCAGATTGGCTCCTCAAAGTCTCAGTATTGGCTTAGTTATAGACATAAATAACTAAGCCAATAATGGTCCCAATATGGAATGTCATACCTCACTGACTTTGTTTTCTAATTCATAGTCCAACTGCATTTACATTTTGAAATGTCAAATTTTGGCCATTTTTTGCCAAAAAGGATGATGTAACCCCTAAAAAACGAATATTGAGTCCTCCAGTTTTTCTTCTCAATGTGACAGAATTTTGTTTATAACTAAATCAATAATGGTCGGAATATGGAATGTCATACCTCGTTAAAATTGTTTTCTAATTCCTGGTCGATCTGCATTTAAGAGTGAAAAAGAACCATATTAGTTTTTGTAGGCGCAGTGTTCACCCTTTGAATTTCATTGGAAATATGTAATGTCATGATTTTAAAACGATATTTAATGGTAATTTCAGCTCGTCCAGCTTGGTCCCAAAAAAGAGGGAATGCATTTTCCATAAGCAATGGGGTCCGAAGAGTAGGCCCAATTTCATTTGCTTGCCACTTGCCTCCACATGCCCAAGGCCCTTCAATGATAATGAGGCATGCTTATGAAACGCTCCCCAATCGTACAATAATGGGTGGCATTTTATGCAGGGCGCGACACCCAATTTCTAAACGCAATTGGTCATTGGAATTTTATTGGGCTCGGAATGCCTTTTGTGGGTCAGTCAGTATTGGGCGGACCAAACTTTTGGGCCGTAAATCAAAATTTCACTTTCATAAAGCTGCCAATTATTTTTGGTGGTAATTTCTTTGCTATTTTTTTTTTCTTCTGTATTTATATTTTATTTTGAAATATTATTTTTAACAAGGTTTTTTAAACATTAACAACATAATATTATTATTATACCTTTTATTTCATACATTTATCATTTGTTTTGTTTTGGTTTTGGTTTTTTGTTTCGGTTGCGTTTTAGATGTTTAAAATATGCAGTTTTTAGCTTTTTAATTTTGTTATTTAAAATTGTATTTATTTGTTGTTGTTTTTGTCTTTTGCGGGGCCCTTTAAACTAAACTAATTTGTCATTTTATGCTTTCTGCTCTGATTTTGGTTTAATTTTAATTTATTTTAAATATAAATTAATGATTTTTATCGCTTTTTACGTTTTATTTATGTCTACTTTTTACGTTTTCCGTTGTGTAAATATACCTCATATAAATAGCGAGTAAAAACTAAAAAAATGTAACTACAATTAATATGATTTGCATTTGTTTTTTGTTGTTTTTTTTTTTTTTTTTTTTTTTTTGGGTTTGCATTATTTATACAATTTATTTAGCACACATTGCCGGATGTGTATGTGTGCGTGTGCGGGTATCATGTGAAAGTGCTGCGAAATTATAAAAAATATTTTTTCGTTTTTAGTTGCTATTTTTGTTTATGTTAATTATGATATTTGTTAATATCGTTATTCCTTAAAAAAATGAACATTTCCGCCTTAAACCTGTAAAATTATCATATTAGTTTTCGTTTTGTTTTTTCTTTTGTTGTTTTTTTTTCTTTTTGGTTTTTAGCTGCAAACGTTGATTCTATACAAAAAATCTAACTACAGTAAAATGCTGCATAGCTTCACATTTACGAGTATGATAATATATTTTATATTTTTTTGTGACATTTTTTATTGACGAATTTTCTACAAAAACCTTTTTGCACTTAGACACTAGTTTATACGGCATTGAGTAGTTTTATGCGACATTATTAATATATATATTTGTATATTATTTCTTGTGAACAAAGCTGCTCGGAAGTGTTGAATTGAGCGAAGTGAATAAATAAATATTCGAAGTTGATAAAAATGATTATTTGGAAATGGGGGAGGAAAGGCAGCTTTGTCAGCGTGTTTTTCTTTTCTATATATTTTTTACTTTTCGATTAATTTTCTTTTGTTTTGTTTGTCTTTAAAGAAGCTTTCATTTCGGATAGTTTCTGGTTTCTCGTGGTTGAGTATGCACTTTACTTGCGTTCCATTTTTATTTCATTTATGTAGATCTGCTATAGCGTAAACATGATTTTATCAAGTTTCACAACATCGAGAGTTCATTTTTTCATTTGTTCTTGTTGTTGGGTTCATCGCTGTCGAGTGTGTGTGTGTGTGTGTGTGTGTATTTGTTTAAGTTTATTTTTGTGTTGATGGTGGTTAAGTGTTTAGGGTCTGGGTGTATAAGTGAATTTTCTATAAATTTAATAACTAGTTTATTCATTTAAAAATTATGTTTAACTTTTGGGTTTTCGCTACGCCATCGCCTCTATTCCTCGTTTTTTTTTTGTTTTTGTTTTTTGTTTTTATTTTTTTAGGATTGCAAATGCGTTTTGTTGTCGATTTTAATAATAAGTTTATCATTAACAATATATGAACTGCTTGTCGCGATATCTAGTCGTCTTATGATTATGCTAAGCTATGCTATGCTCTCGATTCGTTAACATTTACACTTGACTATTTACCATTACCATTATCTTTACCATTAGTTTTTAAATTTAGTTTAATGGAGTTTAAATGTTTCTCACATTGCACGGCTACATACACGTTTACATAAATTTCGAAGGCGCATAATATTCACATATTTTGTTTTTAATTTACGTTGTGGGTAAGCCTAGGCTACACAAAATTCCACTACAAATCAAATATTCAACGAAATCATTAATTGGCTCTTCTTTATTTTCGCTTTCACTTATAAATTGTTAAGTTTTTATCATTTTATTTTCTGGTTTCGTATTAAATTTAAAAGCTCGAATTCGTTTTACTTAAATTTGTTATTCGCTAATCATTTTGTGGAAACAAACAAACAAATCCATTGGATGCTGTTCTGTGCCATTTTCTTGTTACGCTTTTTCATTTGGTTTTCCCACTATTGAATGGATGCTGTCTGCTCTTATTTATCTTTTCTTTCTTTGTTGGTTTTGATCTACATTTAATGTGATTTCTATACGCTTTGGCAGTGTTTATCATTTGAACAAATTACAATTATGATCCGAGAACTGTTGTTGAACGGCAAAACGAAATAGCACAGGATAAACGAGTCAAAGGATAACGCATTCGAGATACTTGCTTATCATTTATTTACAGGCTATGTACAAAAATCAGAGCGTTCCACATTGGCGTTTCGAGCGCAAGTGCGTGAAGTTTGTTAAAGAAGATCAGGAGTATAGAAGTTATAGCCAGAAGAAGTTGGAAAGATATATAACGCTATCGTCATTTTGGTTACCGATTGTATCTATCAAAATTTGTTTAGAACACCACAGTTGCTGCTCGTAAATCGCTGGTAAAAAGCGCACACATTCACATACACTAAAAAATGTTACTAACTACGTTTCATCAGCATTCGTCGCACTCTATATACCGGCATAGGTGTCCTCTATATTAAGTGTTATTTAATAATGATTCTGAATGCGCTACTTACAATATTTTCTTATGTTTTTACTCAAGAGTTTTCCGATCTCTCTTCTATGAGTGTGTGTGTGTGTGTGAGTTTTGTGTGTAGAGATGTGAATGTAAAAAGTTTGTTTTTCAATTTAGAATTAGCAAATTTGACTTTGTGTCGAGTGAAAAAGCTGAGATTCCTCTAGTTAAGTGTAATTTCTTTGCATAGTATGGCTTAGTATGATTTTTGGCTAGAAAAGACCCTTTGGATGGGCTTAATCTTTGGCCGAAACAACCATGTTTTTGTTTTTCCATGTATTTTGCTTTAGGTGTACGAATTAGCTAGCAGATTGTTGGCTTTTAGGTGTGAATTCGTAAATTTATATTTGTGTTTAGTTTTACTTTAAAAGTTTAATGATTACAATATGCTCTGCTCTATATAAATCGTTTTGCGCATGCTCAGAAACTTCTAAATGCAGTTTTTAAATTTTAGCCTCATTGCCTTGTATCTGTATCTTGTATCTTGTATCTTGCATCTTGTATATTGTATCTCGTTATCAGTATTTGTATATCTCAGCCAAAAGCAATCTCGCAAATCTTTTGGGTTTTGTTCTTTATTTCGTGTTGTTTTTTTCATTATAAATTGTTGCGTTGTTGCCGCAATTTCAGCGGCTAAGAGAAAGATTTCGAGGCATGAGAGTACATAGATCGAGTAGACTTAGTTTGTAGTTTTTGTTTAGTAGTTTCTTTCTTTTCGCTCAGTGTATGACTGAGCCTTCTTCTTCGCTTCCTTGTTTAATGTGTAGCTTACCTCACTAATGGTTCCCAATTGCTTACGTCACACCATTAAGATGGATTTTCGTTTAGAATTCAATTTTCAATTGTTTCTTATGCAATGATAGCGCCATGAACTGAACTTAAAATGTAAATGAAAATTAGTGATAAATGTTAATGTTAATGTAAATGTAAATGATTGTTGAAAGCACTCATACATACGTAAATACATACCCATAAGATTAACTAATGATTGTTGCTTGAAGAAGAACGAAATTCAGGAACAAAACTAAGATATAAGAAACTTAAAAATCAAATAATAAT